CCCAGCCCCGGCCGGGCCGGGCGGAGCGCTGTGCGGGTGGCCGGGTGGCGGGGCCGGCTGCCAGCCCCGGGCCAGCCCTTCCCCCGGGGAGCGTTTGGGAGCGGGAAGCGCCGTATAACCCGTTATCTGTCTGGAAACTTGTCCCTGGGATGGGGAAGGAGCGACTTTCCGCAGGGACGGAATCCCCAGGCAGCCGGGCGGGGTTAAGGTCAGGGCCAAGGCTGGCATGTCATTTCTCTGTCAGCCCGAGGAGCGGTGACATTGCAGGGACGGGCCGTGACGCCTCTGACAGCGGGAGGGTGACAGCTGAGGTGCCCGGGGCAGCTTCCCCCTGCCCTGGCGGCTGCTCGGGAGCCTGGTCAGCCTGCAGGGGGGAGGAAGCCACAAGTTCAAGCACTGGGAAGCCCTGTCCCATAGGCAGCAGCGACCCAGTGCTGCTTGCATGGCTGAGTTACTAGAGACACTTTATCTTAGTGAAGTAATGCAGAAAAAATACTAATTATTATTTGCGTTCTTCATCCAGAGACCCCATGACCTGTCTTTATGCCTGTGACACAAACCTTTTATCCTGTCATATCCAAGGAAACTGCAGGACAGAGCAATTAAACCCAAGACTCAGAAGAGCTAGCAGCCTCAGGCTGGTGTCTAGCACCATGTTCTGCATCTCAGAGGTGCCGGCCACCGCAGCACCTGTCAGAGACCAGCTCGGAAATGCTGCGTTAGGAGAGAAACAAACATGTTCTCCTTATTCCCAGACCCAGCAGAGCCCAGCACAGAGTGCTCCTGGCTGTGTGAGCAGCTCTGTTGGTGCAAGCAATGGAAGGATGCCAGCTCACAGCAGCTGAGGATCTGGTTCCTCTTTTGTTCTATTTGTGCATGGAGCGTGCTGAAACCTGCCAGTGATAGGCAGTAGCTTTCTTAGACCCCAGAGTAGCCATCAGAGACTTGAAGTGTGCCCAGCCTGCAAATCAAACTTCCAGCACCAGAATGACAATTGGAAAAGGAAGGTGTTGGGAAAGATGATCCACCCCCAGCTCTGCCATTGTAAGCTGTGGGCCCTGGCCCATCCTCAGCCTCCCCATCTCGCCCTCTACAGCCCAAACCAGAAGGGGCTTGGGAACAGAAACACCCTCACCTGGAACTGGCTGTGTAATCCATATAGGAAACCTTTCATACAGGAGCATTTTTAGAGCTAGATCTCTGGGCTTAGGAATCCTTCAGCATGGACAGGACCCTAAGAGCATGAACAAGAGCCCCTGTTCCCACTTGACCAGATTTCCCATGGGCTAATTTTAACCCAGCCTAACTTTATTCAGGGGAGCAACACACAGCAGCACAGTGTGTGGTCGGTACAAATGGGGCCTTACCCCAAGGCTTGGTATCAGCTTTGACATCCAAATTCCAATGGTTTTCCAAAACTGACACCACAATGAGGTGAAGGCCTAACACATCTTGTTTCCAAAATTCAGGAGCTGTTTGAGATCTAGAATCATACTTTGCAAAGTCCTTGGGCCTGCTTCACTCCTTTCACTTAGGCTGTTTTTAAACTTTTTTGTTTCCTTGGTGGTGACTTTTTCAAAAATGTGAATTTTCATCAGGGAGAGTTTCCCTGAATAGCACAAATTGATGGTTCTTTCTGAGCAGCTGCTTGGTCTGCTCAGTATTTGCTCAACAGTTCCTTTCCCTGCTGCTGTTGTTGTGGCACTTGGATTTCCAGTTTGCCATCTTTGTGCCCAAGTGTCCTTTACACCAGAGCTCCACTGTGGTCAGTGATGGCTGGGGAAATCCATGTGTCACATGGTTTAATCTAGGCATGGGTGGTGTGGTGGTCAGTGAAGGACACAGTGTCTTTCAGCTGCAATCACCTCATGTCTTGGCATGATATTAGGTGGGACCAGACCAGAACTGCTATCTTCACATTTCTCTAAAAACTCATGTAAGTTTGACAGCTCCCACAGCCTCCCAGGCCCTTCATAAACCCCAGCAACTGCTGCTTCACAATATTTTTCACCTGTGAGACAGATCCTGCCCGTGTGGTGAGAGGTGTTCCTGTTCAGGGAGATGGAGGACAAGGGCTGTGCAAGTCAAGCTGGCTTCTCTGACCACAGGGCAGTATGGTGTTGTTTGCCTGGTGTGATTCCTCTGCTTCAGTTGTTAGTGACAGACGTTAATCATGCTGCTTAAGGCAGTTAAAGGGCAGCAGGAGGGCGGCACAGCGCTCAGGAGCCTTGCCTAGAATAGAACAGAGTGGAGCAGAACAATGGCTCTTTCTCTTTGCAGGCACATCTTTGTCTATTCAGAGCTCATTAACCCCTATGTCCCAGCTGCATTCCAGGCCAGAGATGTCATGTCTGCTAAACTACAGAGAAATTATCAGAGGACTGCTACTGGAGTTCTCAGGGTCAGCACTGCTCTGTTCCAGAGGTAGCTGCATTATCATAGAAGCAATTGCTGAGCTAATGTTATATACAGGGGTTTTATAAACCAAGTTGTGCAAATACTTCCCATAGGACCATTCTGTGGTGTTTTGCAATTCCTGATGATTTGCACAATAGAAGCATGAAGCAATTAAAGCCTTTCATGTTTTCAGCATGAATAGATCTATCAAATTTCACAACTCTAATCCAAAATTGGACTCATTTTAAAATTAATATTGATAATTACTAGTGCATGACTAAGCCTGAGTGGGTGCTTTCATGGAGAACTTGAGAAATACTCACTGTCTTTAGTAGCAGATGGAGGACTGGTGCAACCCATTGCTTTAAGGAAGCTGCCTTTCCAGCATGCATGGGGTCAGGGCCAGTGGA